AAAACAGTCTTAATAGGAAACTTTATTGGAATTTTTTTAATAAAATAATCGTAAGATTGAGTGAAGAAACAAACGACGACTATCTTCAATATCTACGTTTCTTTTCAAGTGATTGGACTTCTATAAGTTTCAGAATAGAAGGTTGCCTTGGTTTCTTGTATGTAATAATTAATTTCCAAGATTTTGAGTTAGGTTTAACACCCAAAAAAGGCAAACAAAAGTATGGTAAGATATGGAAAACCTAAAAAGGCACTGATTTCATGGAGGCTAGGGTTTCTCCTCTCAATTTTTTTTTTCTGTTCTGGTGTGAACCATGTTATTATCTCTGATCCGAAATATTAATTAATCATTTTAGCAATTGAATTTATTTTTAAAATATTTGATAAATCAAAAAGTAAAGTTATTTATCCTTTTTTTTTCCAATTTTTTCCTTACGGTTTTAACTAGTGGAATGTTTATTAAGTGGGATGTTTAATTAATGAGAGATAAATTGTTGTGTAGACAAACACTCTTATGTCCAAAGCTATTAAGTGCTCCCTTCCATTTGTTACTCCATTGTTTATGTGACATTATTTGTTTATTAGTCTATTATAAAGAAGGACTCATATACTCCCTCCGATCCATTTTAATTGTCCATTTAGCTTTCCAAATTTAATCCAAAATAAGTGTCATATTAACAAACCGAGAAGACAATAATTGTTTTTTCCAAATTTGTTTACACTTGCTCTAGTAAATGATCATGAAATTTTCTAAAAAACAAAAATCATGTTTAACGAGAGATGAAGGATATATAGTCAAATGATTAATATGGTTAATGTAATTAACCAAATTTCTTTATGGGTGTGTCGTCACACCCGAGAAAGTCATATAAAAAGGACCAGAAGGAACATTTGGAAACATTTAATGGTAAGCTTCCTATTTTACTTTTAATGAGAATATTTTATTATCCATAAATATTAAGATCATAAATTTCAAGATTAAAGTCTTATATTTATATAAATATTATCATCACGCGTTTTAAAAGTTTTTATTTTTTATTTAAATTTCGTGCATGGTCAAACTATATCATATATGCAAAAACACCGACAGATAATACAGACCATTCAAAAATTAATCAAGCAATAGAAAATAATTTCTCTTTACTTCTATAAGAAAAGAAAATGTTTTTTTAAAAAAATAAATGAAAGTGGGGGTTGTTAGTAAGAATTGTGGAAACTTTAATTATTGCATGGGGAAATGAATACTTGATTGACTATTCCTAGAAGTAGCCATGTGTTGTTCGTAATTTGTAACTCAAATGTCTCCTCCATTTTTCTCCATTGAAGTATGCATGTCTAGCTAGGCCAACACGCATTGCCAAGGCTTAGGACACTGCAACTCCAACACCTATTAATTACTCAATTACTATTATATGTTCTACTAGTACTATTCCGATTGACAAGTCATTTGCGCCATAAGATTCCTTTCAACTGAATATTTTTTATGTAACAACCTCTATTAATTATATATTTCAATATAGATTTAATCAGCAGATCAGATGCGAGTTTATTTGAACCCATATTTTTTAGCCTAAATCCGAGTTTATTAGTGTAAAAGCTACTGAAATTGTTGAAAATATTAAACTCTGAACCTATAACTCAAAACAATATGGTGGGTTTAATAATCGAACTCAATCCTGAACCCATAGAATTAATATACTGGATCCGCCTCTGGTCGACTCAGTAGTGTTAAGAGCTCCATATTCTCGTAGAATTATGGCTCAGTTAAGGGTTAAAAGATAGTATATTTTATTATGGATTCAACTTTGATAACATGACATAAATTTTTTTTTATTTTATTTTTTAGAATAGTATCGGGAATTTATATTCTCGATTTTGTACCTTTTTCTAGGACTTGTTATATATAAACTACGCTTGATTAATCATAAAATACCAATTTAATTACAAATCTATTAACGTTAAGACTCTAGAATAAGAATTAACAGCAATGAGGCTAAATAGTAACTAATCCCTCGATACACAATAAGTGACCAATTTGCTTTGGGCACACCTATTAAAGAAATACTAAATTCTAGACTAAAATAGTTAGTGTGACTAAACTACCCTTAATTAAATGTTGCACCAAAGTTATAGTAGCACTTACTTCTCTTCTCAAATGTGAGTAGTAAATGACTTTTTAGGGATACGTACATAAGGTATTTTTGGAAAACAAATTGATTTTTTTTCTTGATTATATAACTGGACACTTAGTTTGGACCAAAATAAAAAAATAAATTGGTCACTTATTGTGGATCGGAGGGAGTAGTTATCTGACGTGAAACTGGAGTATAATCGGATTAATAGATCTGAAATACAACAACAACAACCCCTACTCCGAAGGCATAAGGAGGTTGTTTCCGAGAGACCCTCGGCTCAGAGACAAAAAATTTGTAACAATAACAGAAACCAGAAAAATAGTATCAGCATCCCCAAAGACAACAAATAAATGAAAAGGCTAAAAAAAACAATAAAAATTGTTAGCAGTCCTAGACAAAACACTATCAGACCTCAAATACAGCATAACTGAAAAAAAAAATAGAAAAAATACATGACCTTAGTAGAGAGTGTAGACATCAAATGAAAAAGAGACACACACAAATAATCAAATCAAAGAGGAGTGGAAGAGGAAACAAATGGTAATTTTTGAGTTTATATGTAACCAAGAAAAGCTATCCCAGGTAAAGTTACTCTTTAGTAAAAAATCAATCGGACAAGACTGGAAAGGTAAATAGGGGACCTAGTTTGGCTAGGAAATAGGAAGATCCAATTCTTGTTCTAATTTAATATACTATGCAACTTTTACAAGTTGTCCCAAGAAAGTGAAGCATATTTTTCAAATTAAACTTTTGTTGTTTCAATGTATGTTACCTTTCCGTTGGACAATGTCCATGTTCTCAAGGTGAGATCTAAAAAGAAGATACAGAAACTTCTTTGAATAATGAGTTTCAACAAAACCCCATATAATATTCCCAAAAATTAGTTGGAGAAAATCAAAGCCTCATTTCTCAAAAAACAAAAAGCTCTCGAATAAAGAGAGGAGAGAAATTAAAAGGCCAATCTCTTTTCTTGTAAAGGTATATTGTCCCTATGAAATGAATGTTTGCCTCAAGATATTAGTTAGCAACTATAAATGTGACTTCAAGACTCAAGATTGGGGGATTTAATTCCACTCTAATTACTACCTTCTCTCTCCCTCTGCCAAATTACCTGGAACTAATATCTCTTGCCTCAACTACCTAACGAAGTCTTGCCTGAATTTCTTTTCTTTTATTATTTTTCTATTAAATAGAATATTGGGGAAGGTAAAATGTAATTAACCTCAATTGATAAAATCACTTTTGAATCTCAAACCTTTTATTAATGATAAGTATAAAATTAAAAAATAATAATTAATCTCTTGATTTGCTAGAGTGAGACAAGATATGGAAAATATTATATTTAAAATACCGAACAAGTAAAAAGAAATAAAAAGAGTATCAAATATAATGAGACGGGTAGGGACATGGATGCTATATGTAGCGTGCAACAGTAGAGAATTGGCCTTCGCTAGCAGGTGAAAATCATAAGAGATGAAGGTTCAATTCTTAATAGAAACAAAGAAAATGCTAGATGATTCTTTTCATATACCTAAATAGTGGTAAACAGTTATACGATACTTATGCTAGCAAGAATAGCAAATACCTGGTAGCTAGAACATTTGAGGTATATGTTAACTGGTCGAATATGATTTTTATGCATCACCTCTGTTTAGGTTCCGGCGCCGGTGGGTATTCCGGCGCAATGACGGACCCAGGATTTTTATCAAGCGGGTTCAAAAAACAAAAATAGAGGTCATATGTGACTAGCTGGTTTCGAAATCAGTACCATATGGAAAACTTGAACCCTCTTTATCAACAGGCTAACCAACTTACTTGTTTGAAGTGAGTTCAAAATTATATTTATACCTTTACTTATTTGAAGACAAAAAAAATATACCTATATATACAGTGCTATTTTTCGATGAAGCGGATTCATATGAACCCTCTTGACGCCATGTGGGTCCGCCCCTGTTCCGGCGTCCGTGCTTTCTCTCATTTTCTCTCTTCTTCTTCTTCTTCCACCCCTCGATTTCTCTTCCCCCCATTCTTTCTCTCCTTTTTCCCCTTCTTCTGGTCGGATTCCTGCGAGGCTGCTTGCCTCTGTCACCGACACATCCACTCCTACTTTTCCCTCTTCTTTATGTGCTGCAATGAGGGTGTTTTCGGCAGTCGTGCCGACGTGGGTTTTGACGTACTTACCGGCAATCTCTCCGACATTTGTTCGACAAGACATTCATCATTCCAACCATTGTTCCAGTACCGGGCGTCCCTCTCACAGGTTCTCAATATATAGGGGCAGCACTTCGATATCTCCGGCGTGGTCTAGGTTCCACCTTTCCTGTCTTTGGTATTTGATACATTTAGTATTTGCCTGCCGTCCTTTAATTTTTAGTTTTTTAGTTCGATTTGCCTCTCCTTGTGTTATGTTTTTATTTATCACATTCACTTGCATCACTTAATTACTTCTGTGTATTTGTATTCAATTAGTGTGTTGAACTGTAGACTACTTGCTATTCCTATTGTATCTAGCTGCGCTGTGTAGTGGTACTAGCATAGTATTTCCTCAGTTTAGAGTGGCTGGTGTGAGTGATGATGGAGTGAGGTCATTAGCTCGGGCAGGGTCTAGGGTGGGGCGGGGGGCAAGGGGAGTAAGGTTTCCTCTAGGCTAAGAGTAGGGTCCTAGAATATAGGGACATTGACGGGAAAGTCTATAGAGCTAGGGAAGATTCTCCAAAAGAGGAAGATCAATATCGCGTGTGTCCAGGAGATTAAGTGGGTGGGTAATAATGCACGTGATGTTAACCAGTATAAGCTATGGTATTCGGGAAGGGCTAGGGGCAAGAGCGAGGTATGAACTTTAGTAGATAAGGATCTTAGGGAGCTCATGGTAAATATTAAGAGGGTGAACGATAGGTTGATATATATTAAGCCAGTGGTTGGTGGACACACTTTAAGTATGATTAGCTCTTACGCTCTGCAAGCAAGCTTGGACAAGGAGGTTAAAAATCACTTTTGGGAAGATTTGGATGAGGTGGTGAGAGGTATTTCGCACACTGGGAAGCTATTCATAGGAGGTGATTTTAATGGCTACATTGGAGAGTCAGCTGAGGGATATGGAAATGTGCACGACGGGTTCAATTTTGGAGTTAGGAACGAGGGTGGTCCCTCTTGTGTCTCAGATTGATTGCCTTCTTTGCAGGAAGAGTGATAGAGGCTTATGCATTGACTGCAAGATTATACTGAGTGAGTGGATTTTGACCCAGCATAGGCTTTTGGTACTGGAGTTGGAGATTATGAGAGAAAGGAAGAGGAGTGCAGTGTACTGGAAACCTAAGATCAAGTGTGGAACCTTGACTAAGGACAAAGCTCAGTATCAGGGGAGAAGTTGTTGGCTATGAGGGCTTGGAGTAGTAGTAGGGATGCCAGTTGTATGTGGACCACGACTGCGGGCTGCATTAGGAAAGCTGCTAGAGAGGTGCTAGGGGCCACGAAGAGCTACCCGGGGGGTCGCAAAGGGGACTGGTGATGAAATGGAGAGGTGCAAGAAAAAGTACAAGCCAAGAAAGCAGCATATGTGAAACTAATGGAGAGCGCCGATGAGGAGGAGATGATGACGAATATGGAGTTTTATAAAAAGTCTAATAAAGAGGCAAAGTTAGCTGTCACGACTGCCAAAAATACAACATTTGAACACTTGTATGAGGAGCTAGGAGGTGGAGGCGGTGACAAGAAACTGTTCCGATTAGCCAAGGCTAGAGAGAGAAAGGCACTTGCCTTGGACCAAGAGAGGTGCATTAAAAACGAAGAAGGTAAGGTCTTGGTAGAGGAGGTATGTATTAGGAGAAAATGGCAAATGTACTTCCATAGACTCTTGAACGAAGATGAGGATATGACCATTGAGCTTGGGAAGTTGGAAGACTCGGAAAGCTAGTGTGATTTCGGATTTTGTAGACGTATTAATGTTAGGGGTTGCGGAGGTTATGCGAAAGATGAGGAAGGGTAGGGCGACCGGACCAGGCGAGATTCCGGTTGAATTTTGACAAAATGTAGGCCGGGCAGGCTTGAAGTGGCTTACTATTTTTTTAATGTTATTTTTAGGACGAAGAGGATGCCCGAAGAGTGGAGGCGGAGTTTGATAGTCCCGTTGTACAAGAAGAAGGGACATATCCAGAATTGTAATAGCTATAGAGGTATCAAGTTGCTGAGTCATACCATGAAAGTTTGAGAGAGGATAGTAGAGAAGAGGGTGGGAAGGAGTGTATTTATTTTGGAGAACCAGTTTGGTTTCATGCCAGGGCAGTCGGCTACAGAAGCCATTCATCTAGCAAGGAGGTTGATGGAACAGTATATGGAGAGGAAGAATGACTTGCATATGGTGTTTATTGACTTAGAAAAAGCCACGATAAAGTCCTTAGGGAGGTTTTATGGAGATGTTTGGAGATTAGCGGTATCCCGGTAGAGTATATTAGGGGTGATTAAGGACATGAATGATGGAGCTAAGACTCGGATGAGGGCTGTGGGAGATGACTCGGACTATTTCCTAGTAGAGATAGGGTTGCATCAAGGATCAGCTCTTAGACCATTTTTATTTGTCCTGGCGATGGATGTGTTGACGCAACACATTCAAGGAGAGGTGCCATAGTGTATGTTATTTGCAGATGACATAGTGTTGATTGATGAGACACGTTATGGGGTTAATGCTAGGCTAGAGGTGTGGAAATAAACCCTGAGTCTAAAGGTTTCAAGTTGAGCAGGACAAAGACAGAGTACTTGGAGTGTAAGTTTAGTATTGGGGCTCATGAAGTAGAAGTGGACGTGAAGCTGGATGCACATGTCATCCCCAGGAGAGATAGTTTCAAATATCTTGGGTCTGTGATACAGGGTAACGGAAAAATCGATGAGGATGTTGCACACCGTATTGGAGCGGGATTGATGAAATGAAGGCTCACTTCTGGTGTGTTTTATGTGACAAGAATGTGCCACCTAGACTTAAGGGCAAGTTCTTTAAAGCGGTAGTTAGACCGATCATGTTGCATAGAGCCGAGTGTTGGTCAGTCAAGAAATCACATGTTCAACAATTGAAAACAGCTGAAATAAGGATGTTGAGATGGATGTGTGGGCATACCAGGAGAGATAGATTATGTATGAGTATATCAGGGACAAGGTGGGCGTGACTCTTTTAGAAGATAAGTTGTGGGAATCTAGGCTGAGATGGTTCGGGCATGTGAAGAGGAGAATGCCTCGGTTAGGAGGTGTGGGAGGTTGACCATGGTGGGTCAGAGGAGGGGTAGAGGGATACCTTAGAAGTACTAGGTGAGGTGATTAGGCAGGACATGATGCTACTTCAGCTTACCAAGGACATGGCCCTCGATAGGAGGGTGTGGAGGTCGAAGATTAGGATTGCGGGTTGACATGCAGTCTAGAGTTTCATCTAGGCATCCCAGTAGTATTAATCCTACTCTTGTATTTTTCTATGCCTAGCCCCTTGCTATTTTATATTATGTCATTATTTCCATCAAAACTGAATTTATTTTTATAGATCATATTCTTAGATATTTGTTGTTGCACGTATCTTCATTTGTTCCCATGTCTACTTACCTGGTTGTTGCTACTGTCTGTTTATTGCTTCATTTTCACTTCTTTTGAGTTGAGGGTCTTTCGGAAACAACCTATCTACCTTCATTAGGTAGGGGTAAGGTCTGCGTACACTTCACTCTCCCCAAATCCCATTTGTGAGATTTCGCTGGGCTTGTTGTTGTTGGTGTTAACTGGTCGAATATATACCATTGTTATTGAGGAAAAAAAATGCACTTTGTGATTATGTAATTGCACCTTTGAATCGGTAGGATTGGCTTTGGCAAATAGATCTACGTACCAGGCAGGTCATTTGCTTTCTGGGGAATATTCAAAGTTGTCATAACATAGGTTTTAGGCTTTTACTTGCAGATGTTAACTAGACTGTATTACTCAAGAGGTAAACCAGATTATGATCGAAAACAAATTATTATACCATTATCCCTCCCATAGTTCCATTCCAGGCATATATGAGCACTTTGATGGGAAACTCATCACATGGCAACCTCATGCATCTTTGTACCACAACGTTAAATTAGGAGGCTGGAAAATAAAGGGGCCAAAATTCATCTCAATATCAGCCACCCAAATGAAGAAGCATTCCATTAATGTTGATAAAATGGAGATTCCATTCTGTAAAATTGGTTGTTTGTTTCTACTATACTTGATATTAAAAATCAGTATGCTTTATGTTTGGGTATATAAACAGATTTGGATAGAGAATGTCCTGTTCTCGCAGTGAATTGTTAGTAGGGAATGTCTTGGTTCTATGTATGAAATATGAATGAATCTTTCATTTTTTTGGGACCTCAGATTTTGAATTCTATAAGTGGAACATCAGCTTAATGCAAGGACCACATATCCAGATAGCATAAGCTCAGCATACACAACAATATAATCAAATGTTGCCAAGAATATTGTGGAAGAAAACACCCAAATTCAGGACTGATGTGACTCGTGTAATCATCCAATAGTGCAGCTGTTTTATAATGATTACATCGAATATCCTTCCATGCAGCTGTGTACCTAGTTAATTATGTTAAATTATCACACAGCCCAAATTATAAAAAATATATAAATTGTCTGCGATGGTCCAAAAGATCTCACACATTAATTTCTTGGACAATGCCATATCGTTTAAAAGTGCTTGTACTATGTGGAATTATATTTTATTTTATATAACGTAACGCTTTATTATTCCTACCCTTTCTAACGTGGAATTTACCTAAGATGTTATACGTGCCCATTTTTCTAAAACTTGCTAGCTCATAAGCATGTCAGTTTTTTTTTTAACCTGCAGTCATCAGCACACCTTCCATCATGAGCGAGTCACATGATGTTTGGGTGAACTCTTCAACTATCTAAAAATTCTGGCTAGGATAGGTATCAATTGTTACACGCTGCATGAAGCAATATTGTTTTTCATGTGAGCACAAGTGCATAATTTTGTCCCTGATATTATATACCATGCTTTCTCTAGCATCCTGCTCGGTCGAAAAATTGTAATACTATTTACCAAGTATATACTTTATACAAAAAATATACATCGGCTATTATTTTTGAAGCGGCTATACTGTGTAGTTTTTCCTACTATTATTTTTAGAAGAATAACCCAAATAGCCGCCCACCTAAACTATTAAACTAAAAATGACCGTGGATGTAATATATATATATATATATATATATATATATAAATTATGTATAATTTACATATACCGGCTAGAAAAATTAAACAATAAATCTCATCGGCTATTTGTATAACCCTTCTTTTTTAGTCTCCAAGACTAAAAAGCCCATCATGGGGAATTGGGCCCAACACTGAGTTTAGAGCGTTCAAATTCTTCAACAAATTTGGGGATATGTATTTCGTTTTACCTTGTATCTGTTATAAATATATATTATATTATGGATATTCATTTAGTACTCCATTGTAAATAAGTTTCCTGATGAAACTAATCCATATGAGACTTCGCCGTAAATATGTTTATCTATTTAGTACTCTATTGGAAATAAGCCTCCTGAAGAAGCTTATCATTTCGATACTCCGTTATGAATAAATATTATCCTCGGTAGAAGATTATCTATATCTAGTACAGTAGCAACTTACAAGCAGCTTACACAGCAGCTTGCGGTAGCAACTTAGACAGCAGCTTGCAGTAGCAGCTTACACGCAACTTACAAGCAGCTTACACAGCAGCTTGCTTACACAGCAGCTTGCAGTAGCAGCTTACACGCAACTTACAAGCAGCTTACACAGCAGCTTGCTTACACAGCAGCTTGCAGTAGCACTTACACAACAACTTTCTTTCTTCTATAAATAGAGGAGATTTCAATTCATTATGTATATCAGTTTGAAAGTTGAATAATATATCAGTTTTTCCCTATACTTGTCTTTTGTTTATTTACACTACAGTCGTTATTTTATATCACGTTATCAGCACGAGAATCTGCCATCACGAGCAAATACTTAGAAAGTATAAGAGGTACGAACTTTTTTTTTCTAAATAATGTCAAATCTTTCTAAACTTGAATTTGTAGCCTTGGATATATCGGGCAAAAGCTACATATCTTGGGTGCTTGATGCTGAAATTCATCATGATGCGATGGTTTGACAAACACTATCAAGGACAAAAAATCAAGCATCAAACCAAGACCGTGCCAAAGCAATGATATTCCTACGTCATCACTTTGATGAGGGCCTGAAAATGGAATATCTTACTGTTAAAGATCCAGTCATATTGTGGAATAATTTAAAAGATAGATATGACCACCTGAAGATGGTCATTCTTCCACATGCACGTTATGACTGGACTCATTTAAGGCTACAAGATTTTAAATCTATCTGTGAGTATAATTCTGCTATGATCAGAATTATTTCCCAATTAAAATTATGTGGTGATAATATTACTAATCATGATATGTTGGAGAAAACTGTCACCACTTTTCATGCCTCGAATATTCTCCTGCAACAGCAATATCGAGAGATGAGATTCAAAAAGTATTCTGAACTTATCTCACATCTTCCTGTAGCGGAGCAACATAATGGGTTATTAATAAAAAATCATGAAAGTCAACCAACTGGTTCTTGTCCATTCCCTGAAGTGAATGAGACAAACTTCTACCAAACTAAGCGTGGAAAAGGTTGTGGCCCTAGTCGTGGTCATGACCATGGCTGGGGAAGAAAATCTAATCATGGTAATAATAATTCACCAAAGAACCCTCCTAACCACCAACAGTGGAAAAGGAAGGAATAAAAGCATGAAGCGGTGCAAGCAAAAAATGCAGAAAATGCATGCTATAGATATGAAAGAAAAGAGCACTGGTCACGTACCTATCGTATGCCAAAGCACCTGCTTGAGCTTTATCAAGCCTCCCTAAAGATGACAGAGAAAAATGCTAGAGCAAATTTTATTTCTGAAGAAAATGTTGACTTCATGTATTTGGATGTAGTTGATTACTTTGTACTCCCAGAAGGAGAAACAAGTCATGTGATCGCTGATGCATCTGTAGAAATTTAAATTTATGTTATTTGTATTAGTTAGTATGGTTATGTAAAAGTTATGCTTTGATAATGATATTTACTATAATATTTATTTTTATGCCATTTTGAAGAATATGGATAATCTTCAAATTATGTTTGGATCAATGACCAATTATGAAGATATTTGTGTAATTGATAGTGGAACAACTCATGCCATATTCAAGAATCAGAAATACTCTTCTTAGTTTCATAAGGAAAAAGTAAATGTTTAATAATTTCTGGTAATATAAGTTTGATTGAACGCTCCGGAAGAGCCATTATATTTCTCTATAAGGGAACAAAACTTATTATAGACAGTGCATTGTTCTCCTCCAAGTCCCGAAGAAATTTGTTGAGTTTTATAGATATCCGCCGAAATGGGTATCATGTTGAGCAAATAGATGAAATGAACGTGGAATATTTTTGGCCAGAAATGCATTGTAAAAAAGTTACCAACTTTATCTTCTGGCTTATACTATTCAAAGATCAGTACAGTTGAAGCATACTCTATCGTAAAGCAGAAGTTTACTGATTTAAATACTTTTGTACTTTGGCATGACCGTTTGGGTCATCCTGGATCAATAATGATGAGACGAATTATTGAAAATTCGAGTGGGCATCCACTAAAGAACCTGGAAATTCTTACAAATGATGAATTTTCTTGTGATGATTATTATCAAGGAAAAATGATCATTAGACCATTACCAATGAAGGTTGGCATGAAATTCCTTGCCTTTTTAGAGCGTATACATAGGGATTTATGTGGATCTATTCATCCACCAAGTGGATTGTTTAGATATTTTATGATCCTAATAGATGCATCTTCAAGATGGTCTCATGTGTGCCT